TGTCGAGGTGGTCGTTGATAGAAGAGCGCTTGCCGTCAGAGCTAGGTTATTTAGTGGCGCAAGTCATTGATTAACCCGCGACAATATTTTTAATCTAAAATGTTATGAAGTACTATTTATTCCCTGGGACGGTGTGAATAATGAAATAACTCTCCAGTAGAACATATGGAGCGCAAAGCTCCCATACATGCACCGCCGGGAAGATGTCTCAAGCATCTCCTTGATATATGGAATAAATAACGACCTTCGAATAGCCACCAAGATCATTTACGTAATCGGTTTTTAAACTTTGATTATAAAATTCTGACTGTTAATATAGAATGCATTAGAAAAAATTCTGAACTTTTTTTTATAAAAAAAAAAAAACCAAATCCTAAAGTTACTAACTTTCTACCTATAAATATAATTAGAAATCTAAACAACCTTTATTTCTTGATACAATTTTTTATTTTTTTTTGAAATAAAGGTGTATTCAACACCATTTATTTAAGCAATACGGCGCACTTTTATTTATCCATTCCGGAAGACTCTTCACATGCTTCTAACATTTATCATTTTTTGAATACGAAGTTTGAATAAATGTTGTTAAATTTTTTATTGCGGAAGATCAAAAGACCTTTCAAATTGTGTGCCTTAAGATATATGTCCAATAACTTTTATGTGAGAAAGTACAATGAATAATTTATAAATATATTATGTCTCGTGAAGGGTTTTTTTAATATTCAGGAATAGTCGAATTCATATTTAAATAATCAATTGGTGTTAATGTATGAATTATAGTATCCCCACTTGCTTATATAATAAGATAATAATTTTAATCTAAATTATTAGAATCTTAGTTTTAGCAAATTAATGAATATAAAATCTTAAAATATACTTTACATCTGTTTATTAAAAAATAATAAAAGAATATGCACTGCTTATTATCTCCTGAATATTTTTCATGATTTTGATAGTACTGTAGTAAGATTCTCTTTTTAAAATTATCACACTCAGAATCTATACCTCCTTTAAGCATTTAACATATGTCGTTTTATTAACGTTAGCTTCAAATAAATTAGTCAGCTTTGATGATATTTAGATACGTAAAAAAAAAAAATTCAGGTTACTTTTTTTCAGATTAAAATAGTTGCAGGAATCGTTATTTTAATCAATGTCATTATTTGAAAAACCGTGCGTAACTGATCTTGGTGGTTATATTGGATTTGTAGAATATTATGTATCGTTTTATATAATAAATTAACGAGAACTTATATTATTGGTTATTTCTTTCGCATTTTTTTTACCTTCATTACATTTTTAAAATTTTTCGGAAAATAAATAAAAAAGCCTGAGATAATTTATAAGAAAAAAAAATTTGTCAAAAATACTATTCCTGATATATCGCAATACCGATGAGGTTCTAAAAAATAAACTTGGATCATAATTTTTTCAAATACTTCGTTATAGTAGTACAGTATTTTAGAGACCCTTTTTTAGAACCCTATCATGAACGGTACATATGTAAATCGACTTTTTTTCACATACTAATACTTCTATCTACTCTATCATCAACCGACGATCCATCAAGAACAATATTTTTGCAAATCCTAATCATACGGTCATATCGAGGCTATGTTACTTGTGCACTGTTTTACGTAATCACTAGAAAATGTATTTATCTCGATCTATTAAATATCAGGTAAATAAAGTGTAGATGATGTCGTAATAGTAATGACATGTGAATTTACAACGGTTTATTATATTAATATTTAAAGTTTATCCTTCGGTTTGACAATTTTAAAGAATGTACAAAAGTTACTACAAAAAAAAATTACCGTCACAAATTATAATAAATCCTAAAATTGATCATTTACAAGCCTATCAAAGAAACGTAAGATTTGTATGGACCTTTATTGTTTTTAATGATTATAGATAAAAATGAATAGATTACGAATACTGTATAAAGATTATATGTTCACAAAGTTTAAAATTTAGGCATAATACGTAATACTGTAATGAATAATTAAGGCCTCTGTCTATAAAATGTCACCGTTTGCAGAGTCAGATTATTAATGTTTCACGACATACATAGGTAATACATATATGGCGGAGGTAAGATCCGATTTTTACCGTTATAGTTATAATAAATTCATAGTTTTCTCAAAATGAAATGTTACTGAACAAATAAATGCTTCTTAAAAAATTTAAAAAATTTAAAAATTTCGAATTAACCATAGTTCTCCCAAAATGATAAAGTTACCGAATGAATGCCTTATTGAAATCTTTAATAATTTTCGACCTAATTATAATAATTTTCAATCTAATTTTAAAATCTTATTTTCATGCCTTCTTGTAAACCGCCAATGGTGTAGAATTATTACACCAATATTATGGAGTGAACCTACAAATTATTTTAGTAATAAAAGACTTATAAGAATATATCTTTTTGCATTAAATGCTAAAGAGAAAGCTCTATTAAACCCCTTTAAAATTATTCTTCCAAATTATCCAAAGCCGTTATTTGAGTACGAAAGGTATACTACTTCTGTTGGTCATCATTTGGATTACGGTGTCAAATTTTGGCTTAGCAATGAAAGACTTCATGTAAATTCTGAACTTGCAAATGCTATCAAATGTTCTTACAATACTTCTGCGAGCAAGTAAAAATCTTAAATATTTAACACTTGACAATACTATTAATAAAACATTAGCAAGTGCACTTTGCAAGAATAAAACTCTGTCTTTCTTGAAACTTCAATTTTATTGTCTTGGGCCAGAAGAAATAAATGCATTAGCAGATGTACTTCACCACACTGACTTCTTTGAGTATTTTTGGTAATCATCTTGGATCAATAAGAGGAAAAGCATTAGCTAATGCACTTTGCAAGAACACCACGTTGTCTTCTTTGTATCTTTGGGATAATCATCTTGACTCAGAAGGAGGAAAGGCATTAGCAGATGCCCTTTGCAAAAACACCACGCTGATTTCTTTGAGTCTTAACAAAAATAATCTTGGACCGAAAGGGGGGAAAGCATTAGCAGATACACTTTGCAAGAACACTACACTGATTTCATTGGAACTTGCATATAATGATCTTAGATTAGAAGGTGGAAAAGCGTTAGCTGATGCACTTCTCAAGAACTCTACACTGACTTAATATTGATTTTACCATAATATCTAACAATCCAGATATAATAATTATTCAATAATTTGTATACAGTATAAACATAAATGTAACATTAAATTATGTAACGTAATGTTAATGAGAAAAAAAAAGTATTGAAATAAATTGGTACAAAGTTTAAGCAAATATATTATCAAATAGGAATTGCACAGAGAGGGTGGCATCGTCTCTCTGTTTCAATTAAATAACCAATGTCGCAGATTAAAATTAAAATAAAATTGAGTATCTATTTAACTCTCCAAAACTTATATATACTCACTTATTAACAAACTTGACATTAAATTCTAACTAGGGGTGTTCTCAAACGCCTTAATCAATGGGCCAAAAGTGTCAATGAATAAATTTTACCTTAAATAATAATCGAATTTGATAAAGTTTATTACGTGAATAAAATATTTTTATTAGTCTTGTCATTTCAATTTGCAAATTTTTTACCGCAAACCTTTTTTTTTGTACCTGGATTGACAAAACTTATCATTAATTGAGTATTCGAAAAAGTCATTCAAATAGCTTTAGTTTTTATGAAAAAAAATAAAAAATATCAGATCTAAAAAAAAAAAAATTACTATTTTTTTTTAGTCGGCAGCAAATTCTACTATTTCCCGAATATTTCTTTATTTCGTACAACAACCAAATACAACGAAGACCTGAACCTAATGGCGATAAATAAAAAAAATTTTAATAAATCGCTTAAGTGTCAATTGCAATTTTTATTTTGATTGATTATAATAAATAGCATTGTCACGTTTATTAGTTAATCGCATCGAGAATAATGCTTGAGAAACTTTGATTACATCATCATTTGATATTCGATTGTCAACAAAAATTTTATATAATTATTCCTTACACAGTATTGAAATCGCAAGCAAATTTATCTACATGCAGATACTCAGTCATCTAGATACCCAGTCATCTGAATTTATTATCATGTTTTTGATCCCAACATGCCTTTCTTAACGCAGTTGTGTCGATAATACTGAAAGTTTGCTGTGAGTTAAAGAGCTTTTGAAGATCCAAAAAAGTAAATGAAGAACTTATTGGGCACAAGGTTTTTTGCGCTGCCAAAAACAATATTAGAAGAAACCTCTCAGATGGGTAATTTATTTTTCTTATAACAATGTATACCCTTAAATTACTATTTACATATGCAAATTTGCCCGTATAAGGGATAATCGTACGCTATTACGATCACTAATTACATCGGGTTGAGGTTTGAAAATACTCAAATTCTAAAAAAATTAAAAATAAATATATAGATAATTTTTTCCAATTTTTAATATTTCTCTCGGTCTTGTTTCACACAGTCTTCTTCAAAACAATTTTACATAATATGGAATAATAGAAAAGTCGCTGACGAATGAATCGAATGTTCTGAAGCCTGTTGATGTTAGCAGCTTATTTCATTCCGATTTGGATTCGATCATCTAAATTTTTTATCTGTTCCAAAATTTATGAAGACAGCTGTAATAATTGTTGCGGTTGATACTGATGCTGAAATTTGGGTCGATTTGAAATATAGTCCTGCTAACATCCCATATACACTTTAATTATATAATCTAGCCCAAAGTCCTTTAAAAAAAAAGCGAAAAAACCCCCTCAAAAAAATTAAAATTTCATATCCAAATTTCAGCATCAGATGCGACAATGAATTTATTTCCATATTTCTCAATAACCGGAGTTAAATCGCCACCCAAAAAACTTCAGATAATATGGTTTAATTTATTCATATTCTTATGTAGCGAGATTATTTTTTTAATAAAATAACTAGGTGCATGTAATGTTCATAGGGAGTTAAAAAGTTTTTATTTTGTTTTTTAAAATTTTCATAATTTTACATTGTACTAGATTGGTAATTTGATTAATAGGCAAAAAATGAATAATTCACTTCGTCTAATGAAAGATAAAATTTACATGGTTTAGTTAACTATTGATTAGATATCTTTATATAAAAATTTTCACAATTATTTCAAATGAGTAAAGTTCGATGCTGCTTTTTAATCCAACAAGACGATTTTGATGTTTTGTTTGCTTTAAATCCAAATAATGAATTAGTCATTTTTTAGATACATACCAGTCTACGGTCGTTTTTTGGCTTCTGAAAAATGGTTTAATTACAGAGTCAAGCATAGTTGTGAGAAAGTGCGTTTTCAATTTTATTATTTTGACAACCAAATTTTAATAAAAAACGATGGTACGTATAATAATATGAAAGAATATATAGTTATTTGGTAAGCCCGATCATAGTCGGATGCCAGATAAAAATTATTGTCGGGGCTGAAGCTGGAAATGGCTGAAGCTGGCAATCACGTGCTATTCAGATGATCGTCCCGATGATCA